CCTCTTGAAATTCCAGTTTTTTAGCTTTTTAGGTTCCCAAGTTAGCAACTTACCCACCAAAAATTTCCACGGGCCCGTACATGGACAAGTTTCCATTTTGGGATGGGAGCCTGTAAAATTCATGTAGATTAATTTCCCAAAGTTTCAGCCCTGTAGCTTTTGTACGCCTCGAGATGAAAAATCGGTCCAGATGCACATATACACACACACACAACTCCCCTCGACAGTATGCTTATTTGCATTGCATAGATGCAAAAAAACGCATAAAAGTCAAAGCCCAAAACCTCTTCCTTACTTTGGGGAAGGCACGCAGACGTAACCCGAGTAGTAGCAAATGTCAACAGCAACCATCTGCTGACAAGTCTGTCAACAGTGTTTTCTTTCAAAATTTGCTTGGAGTAATAAATTATTTTAACAAACTTACCTCACCCTTCGTTTTAGCTTTTTCTGACTCCGGCCATTCCACATTTTGATTTCTTTGGATTGCCCGCTTGTAAAATTAGGATTCGGCCTTCTAACTGCGGCAATTTATTATTTCTGGCATGCGCCAGATTCTACGCTATGATCTTATCGATTTTGGTGTTGTTTATCATGGGCTTATCAAATTTGAACAGGAAATAATAGACAAACTGTAAGAATGATAGGTATTTAAGAAAAGTAGTGAAAAATGAAGCGAAAACAAAAAAATTAGTGAAAAATGAAAAAAAAATGAAAATTTCTTATAAATTTGAAAAGTATGCAATTACTCTGCCTACAGTCTTCCTTTTTCAACTACAGGGAGTATTTGAAAGTTAGTAGTAGTAGTAGTAGTAGTAGTAGTAGTAGTAGTAGTAGTAGTAGTAGTAGTAGTAGTAGTAGTTAAAGAGAAAGTAATATAGAGAAAGGAAGAAAAAGAAAAAGAGAAGGAAAAAAGGAGAAAAAAGAAAATGAAAAAGAATTATAATTTTTAAATTTTTGTTTTTTGAAAATTGTTTTTATAAAAAATTTTTTAAAAAATCGTCAAAGAATGTTTCGGTCCATTAAGTCATATACATTTCTTACCGTTACCACAGTTGGACTTCGTCAGTAAGGGAAACGCCTTGTTTGTAATGAAACCCCGATTTGTTCATGCTATTCTAAATAATTGTTTTTTTAAAGGAATTTGGCTGTAGCTGTCTGGTGCAGTTTCGATCGCGTATTCATCGACATCGTGTTTATGCGCAGAAATCGAAGATGCAGCCACCGACAACAATTGAGGGTGTACGAGAGATACCAAAAGAGATGCTCGAGTACAGCAGCGAGCCGGATGATCTGGAAGTTGAGGACGAGTTTGTGGAGTACGATGAAGCGGCCTGTAAGGAGGCTGATGATGATGCTGCTGCCAAAGAGCCCGGTGCCGAGCCAGCTGTTTGTGCAAAAATTGGCGAAGCAGTCACCGAAGATTCCGAGAACATGATCGCGTACTACGAGGAGGAGGAGGATCAGGAAGTGGATGGTGGCGACGAGGAAGGCCCATGCGACAGTGCTGCAGGTGGAAATTCCGGTAAAAAAGGTGATTTTTTTTAACGATTTTATCAAATATGCTGTAAAACTGGCTTATTTTTTTGCGATTTTGCTATAAAAATCAAAATCATTTTGTGGACTGAGCTAAATCGTTGGTTCCGATGAATAAACAGTGATTGCTAAGAAAATTTAAGGGAAACTTGGTAAAATCGTCTTTCTAAAATTGCTTGGGAGTCAGTTTTTGTGTTTCTGACTCTTAGAGGTACTTACTGGATACTTGATACGGCGTTTCCGTCATTGACGCACTGTTGATCTTCTCCAATGACTGAGTTGGCAACCACGCCGCTGAATTCTGTCCTGAACTCGCCTCCGACACAATACTCCATATAATCGAGTTAACGGATCGGACCAGCACATCGGTGCCCTTCCTACTGGCCTTTTTACATGCGACACACCAGTACCAATTTGTTAACCTTCCGTTCATATTGCTACTTCCTCCTCTGGACACTTTTTCACTTCTATATTACAACCTTCTAATCTTTTTCAAATACCCTAAATTTATACTATTTAAAAAATTCTTCCCGTCCCTATCTTCTGCTTTCTTCCTGCCTTCCATTCTCTCTTCTCATCTCTGAACATTGCGACCGTCATACTGACGAGGTCCAGTAGCGGTGTTGAGCTAAGACGTATATGACTTCATGGGCCGAAACGTCTTAACTCTCTCGTACTTATTTTTCCTGTACCAGCAATATTTCTACATCTTGCATTA